CTCCCTTCCTCCCTGCATCCCTCCTTCCCACTCCCTGTCCCATTCTTCCATCTTGCAAATATTGGCACCTACTAAATGCCAAGCCCAGTACTGAGTGGCTTTCTTATTTCCAGTGTTTCCTGACTCCTGATTAGGGCAGTGTAATGGTTAAATGAGTGGCTTGAGTTATCCGCCTGTTCAAATCCTATCCCAGATGCTGACTAGCCATGTGGCCTCTGGCAAGTCATTTAATCTGAATCTCGATTTCTTCATCAGTAACTTGGGGATGAGAGTAACAAAGTTTGCAGGTTAACCAGCACTCAGGATGGTGACTCACCCATAAGAAGCCCTAATGCTTCTTACCTGTTAGCTCATGTTACTACTGAAGTATCCTCACTGAGCCTTCATCTGTTCCCTCCTCTCCATCCACACTGGGCACACCCTCCTTATTTCTCACGAAGATCACACCTGCCACTCCCTGACTTCCTACCCTCCTCTTTTCTGTCCCTTCCTCCTCCAGCCATCTTTGACCTCATTTGACCATCTCTTAACCACCTTTGATAGTCTCTCAATGGCTGGATTCTCACTGCCAACAGGAGATTACCTAAAGTCCCAGGTTGGCATTCAAGGCTGCCTATGACCTGGCCTCAGCTGACCCCTCCTGGATCATGGAAAAGGAGCAGAATTGTCTCTGTGCCTGGGCTCTTCATCTGTGAAATGGGAACACTATAGGACTCATTCATAGATCGTTTGAGGATTAAATGAGACAATCATTGTAAAGTACTAAGAAAAGTGCCTGGCACGTGTAAATGTGCATGATGGGTAATCAGACCTTTGAGCAGTACTTGCCTCTTCCCGGTGCATTCCCTATCCCTAAGTGTGCCTGGCAAATTCCTACCATCCCTCAATACGGAGGGCACGCGCAGCCTCCAACCTCCAGAAGTCCTAGGCAGGGCCCGTTATTATATTTGCCACATTGAATTGTCACTGCCCCAGTCCTATTCTCCCACCTGACCAAGAGCTCTTCAAGGTTAGGAACAGTATCTGCATCGCTGCAGTGAGTCCTGTGGCTGCACAGAATAACAAGAACAGCTAACTTCCACTGAGCACTTATTGTATACTGGACCCTGCATTAGAGGCTTAACACCCCCTTAGCTCACTTAATTTTCACAGCAGCTGTAATCAGTGGGTATTATCACCCTATTTACATATGAAAAAACTGAGGCTCAGAGAAATGGAATTGGACAGCTCCTAAGTGGCAGAGCCTGGATTTGAACCAAATCCTTCTGACCCTAATTCCAAAGCCCGGGCTTTTCACTGCTATGCTATCGAAGTAATTCTTATTTCATTTATTGTATGCTTACTAAGTGCTAGACACTATTCAAAGTGCTTTAGATACTTCACGTCATCGACCCCTTGAGTCAACCCTGCTTTCTAAGAACTGTTTTTACTCTCATTCTATGGTTGAAGAAACCGAGGCACAGAGAGGTTAAATGACTTGTTCAGGGTCACACAGCTAGGAAGTGACGAGGTCAGGATTCAAACCCAGGTTCCTGACTCCAGAGCCCGAGCTCTGAACTGCCGCACTTAGGGTTGGGGGCGGGGTGGTGGTGAAGTAAGATGTGTTGGGAGCCCCTCGGCTGAGCTCGCAGCCCAGGAGGCTGACAGTTCACCAGAGAGACAAGGCTGAGTGGAGGGGTTAGAGGTGGATCTGCTTCTATTTCCTGGTGTCTGCAGCCCCCTGTGTGAGTTCTCCCACATGACCCCCTGCATGGCTGACTCACCTTTGATTGACCCACCTCCCAGGGCCTGGTCTCTCCAGTTGAAGACAAAGGTGCTTTTTGGACGCTAAGCTCAGGCGATCTCCCTGGCGCCAGAGTTACACTAATCCTCTTGAGGCCCAGGGGGGTAGGCTGGCTTCGTGGCCACCAAGGCCTGGCTGGTCTCAGGACTGAGGATGGGCACAGAGCCGTGGGTGACAATAACCACCTTTGTGTATGCACTGCCCTCTACAGTTTACAATGTGCATTGGTCTCTGTGGGAAAAGGCACAGTTACCTTCTTTACATTGTATTTCAATTTAAAACGGTAATATATTTGTTTAACAAATACTTACAGCACACTAAGAACCAGGTAACAGGGGAGCAAAAAGGGGACTGCTGTTTACTGAGTCCCCATGAGGCTCCAGGCACATTCCTGATGGTTCTTATGTAACCCTCGAAACCCTGCTGGGGAAGTGCAATTATGCCCACCTCTCAGATGTCCAGACTGAGGTCCTGGAGGAGAAGTGATTATCCAGGGCATATAGGGCAGATGGGAGATGGGAACACAGGTGCGCATGACTCTTCAGGTCCCTGCCCCCCACCCCGCCCCGCCGGCTCTTCCAGGCCCCACAGGTGGTGGGGTGATGAGGTAATCCAGGTCCAGGGCTGAGGCACCTCCTCAGACCCCTCATGGCTTTCACAGACTTGCTGCCACAAAGAGCCAGCAGAGACACGGGACGATGAGGATAAAAATGCCATCTACGAAGCACCTACTGTGTGTGGGCTCTGTTCTCAGTACTCTGCATGATTAAGTCACTTGACCCGCAAAACATCCTTCTGAGCCTGGGTTGTTCCGGTCACCATCTCAAACCCAAAGAAACAGGATTAGAGACCTGGCAGCATAATTCAAACTTAGCACCCAGCTCCAGAGCCTGCTCCATTAATGTGCCCTCTGCAGACAGGGAAAATGAGTCTCTGAGAGGGGCTGGCTCAGAAGCCAGTGGTGACACTGGGAAATTTGACGTCAGCTGTGCCTGCCTTCAGAGCCCTTGCTGCCTCCAGGGAGGGAGGAGAAAGCATCTCCTTGCAGAGTTCGGGAAAACACATTTATTCTCAGCCTGACTTGAGAGCAGGCCTTGTTGGAGAGACAGAAATGCCCCCCTAGCCCTAAAGGAGTTCTCCGGTGGACCTAGTGGGGGCAGGGAGGAGGTAGCATCAAATAAACATGGAGGGAGGACTCAGGCTAGGGTTGGGGATGAGAAACAAGGAGGACTCAGAGAGCTCCTGTCCAGCGGAAGTAAGAGCATTCATGCATCCGTTCATTCGCTACACTGGCATCTGTGCCTGTGCTGGGCTAGTGGTGGGGTCCAGGCCTGCTTTGCTTGGTTTGCCCAGAGCAACACCAACTCAGTATGGGCTGTAGAAACCCCTGGTGGTCCAAAGGAAGGGTCAAGGTTGGGAGTCATCACAGAAAGCTTCTCAGGGCAGCTGACATTTCTGCATGAGTTTGACCAGTGGAATCTGGAGAAAGGGATTCTAGATGGCAGGGATTGCATGTGCAAAGGCCCAGAGGCAGGAGGCAGGGGCAGGAGTAGGACTGAGTATGGAAGGGAGATCGACCTTGAATGCCAAGGAAGAGGTCTGGGCTGTGTTCCAGCGGGTCTTGGAGAAGGCAGTGGCTGCCTCTGAAGGGTGGTAGCAGGCATTGACTAGGAAGGGGCAGAAGGGAATGTTCTGGAGTGATGGAGATGCTCTATATTGAGATAGAGGTGTGGGCTATGTGGCTGTTTAAAGTTGTCAAAACTCAACAAATAAAACTTAAGATTTGTGAATTTCACTGTATGTAAATTCACTGTATGCAAAGCAAAAATGCAGCTTTTCCCCTCCAATCTCAGCCCCTATCTCATAACTTATGAAAAAAATCGTAATAGCTTACATGTTGAAGTGTATAGAGGAAGATGTATTGTTGCCTGCTACTTACTTTGAAAGACATATATTTAAAAGATGGATTGACAGATAGATGGACAGATATGTGATAAAGCAAGTATAACACCATTTTAATGGTAGAAATAGCTTGTGGGTGTAAGG